CTTTCACACCAAAGGTGCCAGTTTTTGCTTTTATGCTTTTCACATACCTACAAAGTAAGAAAAGAAAAAGTACTGTAACACATAGAAAACTGATTTGAGATGCCAACAGAATTCACAGGCTTAGGGCCCAGTGAACTAGGAATGGAGTGGAAGATTTTCTTTCTTTTCCATCTTTTGCTATGCTGAGAGTCAAACCCAGGGCCTTAAGGATGCTAGGCAAACAAACATTCTATCTCTGAGCTACATCTCCAGCCGAAAGAGGAAGATCTAAGATAATGAGTTGTAATACCTGTTTGTAGTTACCAATAGAATAATGACAATATAAGAAGTGGACCCCAGTGTAGTGGTGCATGCCTATAATCCCAGCACTTGGGAGCCTGAGGTAGGAGGATTGTCATGAGTTTGAGGGCAGCCTGGGTTACATAGTGAGTTCAAGGGCAGCCTGGGCTACATAGTGAGATCCTGTTTCAAAAACAACTACAACAGGGCCGGGGATTTAGCTCAGTGGTGGTTCCGTACCCTGCCTCGCAAGAACCTGAGTATGATCCTTGGTACCAAAAAAACAAAAACAAAACAAAACAAAACTATAACAAACAAACAAAAAAAGAAGTGGAAAAAATTTCATTACTTTAAAGAATTGTAGTAGTCCTTTTTTTTTTTTTAGGTACCAGGGATTGAACTCTGGACCTTGCGCTTGCAAGGGGGCCGGCAGAACCACTGAGCTAAATCCCCACCCCAGTAGTCCTTTCTTAAAGATTACAACATGAGAATCACTGAGTTGCTATTGTTATTGTCACCATGTAGGGACAGTGGACAGCACTCTGGCCACTTTGACTGGTGACATAATAATTCAAAGCATAAAAAAAAATAATAATAATAATTCAAAGCAGCTATTGTCCTGAGACTGCTTAGCACGGAAAAGCTTTAGCCTCAAGAGGGCAAGTGGGCATGTGTCACTTGTCACTGCTTAGACAACATTCCAATCGGGGGGCTCTGGGAACCAGGGACAGGTTCTGAGCCCCTTGTCCTAGTCCAGAGGCCAAGAGACAATGCTGTTTCCTCTTCCTGACCCTCAGCACCCACAGCTCAGGCCCACCCAAGGTGGGTGACTGGACCACCCTGTCTTGAGGAAGATTGAATCCTGGAAAAAATGAAAATTTGGCTGAGAAAATTCCCTGTGGCTGCAGCAGGGGCAACATTCCGAAAAAGGGGCCACTAGGGTTCCATGACATAAAGCCAGGCCCATAGTTCAGCCCCACCTTTGACCTTTTGTGATGCGCAGTGTACTGGTGCCTCTAGTTCTGTTTTCCCTGTTTTTTTGTTTATTTATTATTTTATTTTATTTTTAATTTTTATTTTTGGTACCGGGGATTGAACTCTAGTCTTTGTGCTTGCACAACAGGCGCCGAAACCACTGAGCTAAATCCCCAGCCCTAAAATCAGAGTTTCTTAGACATAAGTTTTTCTGCCCTACTCCTCCCTACTCTTAATCTCAAAACCAGTAAACTTTTGCATTTGTTTTTTTTTTGATACCAGGAATCGAACTCATGCCTCAGGCTTGCCAGGCAGGTGCTGTGCTGCTGAGTTACATACCCAGCCCATGCTTTTACTTCTTTTTGCAGTTAACTTCTGTCTCTCTAAAAATACACTTGCATGATTATTTATGAATCAACTGTAGGCATTGTCTATTGACTTTCTGCTGTGGCAGAGGCCCAACTACTCCGCTCAACACAGCCAGCCTCTCGGTTCATGAATGATGGGAGAGCACCTGGGTTTCACCCTGGCCAAGAAAACGATAAAGAGATATGGGGAACACCTACTTGGCCTTTTTTTTCAGTACTGGGGATTGAACTCAAGTCCTTCACACTGAGCCAGATCCTAGACCCCTCCTCCCTCATCCCCCCCACCTTTTTTTTGAGATAGAATTTTGCTAAGTCACTAAGTTTTCCAGGCTGGGCTTGAACTTTGGACCCTCAGAGGGCTGGGCTCACAGCATTCTTCTGCACAGGCATTTTTAAAAAGCACAGTGAGGGCTGAGGATTTAGCTCAGTGGTTCTGCCACCTGCCTCACAAGCACAAGGTCCTGAATTTGATCCCTGGTACCAAAAAATAAATACATAAAAATAAATAAATAAATAAGCAAGCACAGTGAATCCATCTAAAACCAGAATGTGTTTATTTCGCAGTTAGGGCTGAATAACTTAAATCCTAACCCTGGCCTTGCTGTGGGACTGAGCTGTCACCTTCCTGGTGAGAGGCTTGAGATTCTACAATTCTACCTCGATCACAATATGGAAGGGGGTGCTAAAAACTCAGCAGTGCAGGTAAGTAAGATTGGAATGCAGGTTTTTAATAACCAAAACTAGAAGGGCTGGGAATGTAGCTCAGTGGCTCCATGCCTGCCTGGCAAGCACAAGGTCCTGAGTTTGATTCCTGGTACCAGAAAAAAAAAACAAACAACAAAATTACATAATGGCAATTAACACATAATGGACACAATTTTATATCTATCTATCTATCTATCTATCTATCTATCTATCTATATACACACACACACACTATATATGTTTTTGTTGTTGTTCTTTTTTTTGGTACTGGGGATCGAACTTGGGACTTGGTGCTTGCGAGGCAGGCGCCAGAACCACTGGGCTAAATCCCTGGCCCATATATATATATATTTTTTGAGACAGGGTCTCACTATGTAGCCAGGCTGGCCTTAAACTATGGCAATACACTTGCCTCAGGATCCAGAGGCAAGACTTGGGGCGTGCACCACTTCGCCCAGCTCACAATAATATTTTTAATAAGGATATGCTTAGCAAAATGAAAAGAGGGGAATAGAGCAAAAGGAGAAGTGTTTATGGTTACACCTCACTACTAACAGGGCTCACCAGTGTCTGAGGCAGCTCCCACCAAGATAAGGCACTGAAACCCATGCTACCTGTAGGATAAGTTCCACATTTGCTGACTGGAAAAAGAATTTTCAGGTAATATGTCTATGCAGAAGCATAAAAGTATTTTTTAGGCAGAAATTTAAAAGTACACACTCAAAGAAATAGAGTGCAGGCCTTGAGAGGGGCGCATTATTTCCTGGAACTGGGACATTTAGGGTTTTCTTGAGGGTCTGGTAACCCCAGGAAAAAGTGGGCCACTTCCAAAAAACGGTACCGGCCCATTTCACAGGTATGAGCCTCGTTTTATTTCTCCTTAAAATGAATAATCTAAGCATTCTTTGAAGTCTCTCAATCTGTTCCTTAATCTTAGGGTCACGCTTCTGCTGTCAATTAAGCCAAAGCGAATTTACAGCATTCCTGAGGAATTTTTTTTTTCCTCCTGGTTCTGGGGATCGAATTTGGGTCCTTACGCTTGCGTAGAAGGCGGCGAAGCCACTGGGGTAAATCCCCGGCCCATCTTGAGGAATTTTAGTGTGACGGGTCTAGAAGGAAAGAACCCTAAATTAACCAAGGGAATGGGGATATGGATCACCCTGAATAACTTCGACTGGGTCCCGGCAGTTGTAGTCTTTTAAAAAGTACAATTTTGGGGCCGGGGATTTAACTCAGTGGTTTCGCCGCCTTCTGCGCAAGCGCAAGGACCCGAGTTCGCTCCTCGGTACCAAAAAAAAAAAAAAAAAAAAAAAAAAAAAAAAGTACAATTTTTGGGCTGGGGGTTTAGCTCAGTGGTTTCGCCACCTGCTGCACAAGCACAAGGACCTGAGTTCGATCCCCGGTACAAAAAAAAAAGTACAATTTTTAAGGCTGGGTGGGCTGCCGCACACTTGTGGTCCCAGCGCTCCAGGCCTCCGGCAGCCTGGGCTACATGGTGAATTCAAGAGCAGCCTGAACTACATAGCGAAAGAATTTTAAAAAGTATAATTTTTAGTTATGATTTTCCTTGTCTCCTTTCCACCTGTGTTTATGTCTTCTATCTTAGCATTTTGGCCTTATTCTTTGGCATCTGTGAATACATCGGTTCTTTTTCAGGAGCTAAAAAGTGATCAGATGCGTGACCGAGGTGTCTTTCAGATCAGGAACACGGATCCTAGATCCGTGGGCACCACTGCCACCTGACCGTGCGGCGTGTACATTAGGGCGATGTTGAATTAGGTCCCAGAATAGTCTGTCCTTTAAGACCGGAATGGCGGGGCGACTCGCAGATCGCTCTTCTCAGGACTTCCTCGTTTCCAGCGTGGTTCCTCCCTCTGCTCTGTGCGTGGCTGAGGTCCCGGCAGAACTGTGCTTTGAATAAAGGTCAGCCGGGGAGGTGACCCTTTCGATGATCCCCTTCTATCGGGAAGGAGGAGGCAGCCCGGGCTTCCCGGGCAGCGCACATCCCCGCCCGGCTCACAGCTCCTGGGGTTGCCATGGTCCGTGGGAGCGAAATGCTGGCCGCCGCCTGCTCCCGGGCCCTAGCAGGCTGTCGCAGCGTCCTCTCCGATTCCTTTCAAAAGCTCTTCAAGAAGGTGGGGGAGGGGACGAGACGGGAACCCGGGCGTCTGTCCAGGCGGCCCAGAAGCCACTCGGCGAATGCGAGAGGCTTTTCTCACTCTGGGCTCGCTCCAAGAGTTCAACCGCGGCGTCTTCCTGGAGAGCAGACGTGGTTCCCCCCAGCCTAACCCGCCGTGGGCAGCGCCTGCCAACTCGTTTCCGAGGTTCGCTCGCTCCGGCGGCGGGCAGACAGGTGGCCCCGAAAGGCGGCGGGCTGGCGGGGCTGTGACCGTGCAAATTCTGGGGACTCTTGGCCGGAGAGCGGGAACCCGGCGAAATGCTGACGAGGTGCCCCTCGGCGCAGGCCTAGGTTTCCCTCACAGCTTGCTGCCCTCCTCCCGGGCTGGTGAGGAGCTGGGGGCGCGCGCGGCGCGGCCCGCGGGTCCCGCCGCACGGGGCGGACCGGGAAAGTCGCTGGCGGCCCGGGCTCGGGAGGGGGCGGCGGGCCGGCTGGCGGGGGCGGGGCTTGAGGGCTCGGCGGCGCGGGCGCGGGCGCGGGCGCGGGAGGGGAGGAGCCGTGCGGTGTCGTCTTGCGGAGGCGCGCGCCCGCCCGGCCCCGCGGCGGCTGTGGCGCGTCACGCTGTCCCCAGCCGGAGCCGACGAACCGGGAGGCAGTGTCCGCGGCTGGCGTTCCTCCTGCTGCGGTGGCAGATGGGGGCGACCCGCGGTGTCTGAGGTGAGCGGGGCGCGCGGCCTCCCCCTTCCCGACCGTCTCCGCTTCCCGCCTCCCGTCACCCCGCTGCCCGCTCGGGGTTGGGCCCGTCGTCTGGAGGGGGCCCCGAGCCCCGCGCCCCGCGCGCCTGGCGGCCCTGAGGGGACAGTGGCCGCCTGGAGGGCAGGGCTCCCCGGCACGCGCGCCCACCCCGAGCCGGCCCTCAGCGAGCACCGGGCCTTCCGTTCTCCACGCGCCTCAAGATGGAGCGTAGCGCCTGCCCGCGTCGGTTCCTCTCCTCCGCCCAAGGGGCTCTGGGGGACCAGGTCCCGGGGCGTCCAGCCCGGCCAGACCTGTTGCCCCGGACGCCGCCGCCCGCCCCGCCCCTCCCTCGGGCCCTGGCGCCGGTGCTCAGTCCTCGAGAGCCGGACGTAGCCCGACCTGCTCGGCTTTTGTTTTCCTCCGGAGCGGGGCTGTGGTTCTCGGAGACGGTGGAAGGAAGGCGAGAGGGGTCAGATCTCTGAAATCACCGCTGCCGGGTTACTCGAACCTGCTACCGCGCCGGGGATTGGCTCGGGAGACAGATGACACTTGTTCCGAGCTTATTGGAAAATTGGAAAAGCAGAGCCTTTTGATTTCCCCGAATTTGGACCTCCTGCGCTGCAAAAATCTGATTTGGATGCGGGGCGGGGGGTGAACCCTGAATCCGGCTGTTTCTCCACTTCGTGTGGCTTTTCCTTCTGGCAGGAACCAAGCACCACCCCTCCTCCCTTCTTCCCAGCCCCACCTCTTTGGTATGAAGAAATTACACCTTAAGTCTGCTTTCAGTGGAGATACCTGTTTTTAGCAAAACTTGGGCGCCGATTACTGTTTTTAAAGAGGGTGGAGAAGATTCTGTAATATTTTTTTCTTTGTGTGTGTGATTCAGCAGCCTTGCCTTCTCCTTCCTCTTTTAGGTTAGGACTGGCTGGGCCGTTACAGCGCTGTAAGTATCCTTGCTGTGTCAGCTGCTGTTTTTATGGTGATGATCCTGAGATTTTTATTATTAGTGCTATTACCAATAGTATCCAGAAGTCAGGAGAGCAACGTTTGACTTTCTGATTTAATGATTACCTTTTTGCAGATGTTCTTCAGCCTTGCAGGCGTTTCCCCCAGGTCTGGAAATAATAACAATTAACATTTATTGAGGGTTTTTGTGGTCAGGCTCTGGGTAAGTCTTGCATACCTGTGTTTTATCTCCTTGAATCAAGGTTGTTGTCATTATTCTCATTTTACAGAGAAGGCATAGAAAGGTCAAGGAACTTGAGAGCCACACAGCTAATAAGTGATGTTGCAGGATTTGAACTCAGGTCTTCTGACTCCAGGGTCGTAGTTATTTCACCAGTGTGAAACTCCGGCAGGGAGCAAGGCCAGCCTTTATTAAAGCAGCGGAAGTGAGCGATAGCTTGGCCAAGGGCTTGTACCCAGATTTTGAGATTCAGAGAAAGCAGACAAGTAGTAGGCTTAGGCTTCTCACCAGGCCTGGTTCAAAACTGTGAAAACTGAAACTGGGTGGGACCCTGCATAGGTGTCTATCTGAAGATCAGAATTGTTGCCTTCCCTACTCTTTCAGCATTGCTTGAACACAACATAAGCCAATCTGGTTTCAGTCCTCAAGGAGTTAAGAATTTGTCTTTCTGTTTATCTTTTTGTTGGCAGTGCTGGGAATTGAACCCAGGGCCTTGCACAGAGCTACATCCCCAGGCCTTATCTTTATATTTATTTTTTTAATTGGCATATTTTAGATATACATAACATTTATCATAAGGAATTTATATGTGTACATGATATATCCTGCTTCTTTTTTTCCCATTCCCCTCCCCTCCCTTCAACCCCCTTTTCCCACCTTATTTACAAAAGCTTTGTTTCTGTTTTTTCCTTCTATTCTTTTTTTCCTTTTCCCTTCCTTCCTTTCCCCCTCTCCCTGCCTTGTATTCCTTATTTGAACATTTTAACTTTTTTTTTTTTTTTTTTTTAAATTTTGAGACAAGATTGGGTCTTGCCGGAGACAAGGGTCAAGGCCAGTACTGGGAAGAAAACAACAACAACAACAAAAAATTTTGAGACAAGGTCTTTCTAGGTTGCCAGGGCTAGCCTTGGACTTGCCATCCTCCTCTTGGCCTTTAACCTGGTGTCCAAATTGAGTCTTTCATGTCTTGTGTAACCCAAGATGCATGAGAACTAACTCAGTAATGTTGGTCTTTAATTGTTTTTTTGGTACTGGGAATTGAACTCAGGACCTTGTGCTTGCCAGGTAGGCACAGTGCCATTGAGTTAAACTCCTGGCCCCTTGTTTTTATTTTTTTAATGGTACTGGAGATGGAACCCTGGGCTTTATGGAAATGATCTACCACTGAGCTATACCCCCACCCTGGCTCTTGGTTTTTAAGTGTTGTCTGTTGGGATTGGTCCTCTTCATCTCTCACAAAAGTAGGCACCTTTGAATTTGTCTCGTATTGGCTGCGTTCATTATTATTATTTAAGGTGAACTTCTGGTCTTCCTAGAATATCTATCAATGGTATGGAGACTTGTGCTTCATGTTACAGGCTCCTCTGCAGAATTCTGCAGACTTTTTATTTTATTTTATTTTTTTTGCAGTATCGGGGATTGAACTCAGGACCTTGTGCTTGCAAGGCAGGCAACAGTGCCACTGAGCTAAATTCCTGGCCCCTTTGCAGACTTTTATATGCTCAATAAATGTTTATTTAGATCATTAAAAGTATGAAGACCATAAAGCTTTTTTTTTTTGGGTAGTCCTTGGGATCAAAGCCAGGACTGTGCTCATGGTAAGCCCACTTCTGCCCCAGAGCTCCATCTTCAACCCCTCAAGATTAGCTTTATAGAAGTCAAAGCTAGAGACAAAAACAAGGTGATGTAGTAATACAAGATGATGGTTTAATTTTAATAGTAAGAGAAAGCTTTTTATATTGTTAACTAGAATGAGACTTTTTTTTTGGTACTGGGGATTGAACTCGGGACCTTGCGCTTTTGAGGCAGGTGCCGGAACCACTGAGCTAAATCCCCGGCCCAGAGTGAGACTTTTTACCTCATATAAATTTCCACCATCCAAATACCTGTAACCTTTCCTACTTTTTTTTTTGGTACCAGGAATCAAACTCCGGACCTTGCGCTTTGGAGGCAGGCGTTGGAACCTTTGAGCTAAATCGCCAGCCCAACTTCCTTCTTGAGGTAGAAGGTCAAGTGTGTTTTTCTCTGATCAGAAGAGTAGACAGTGTTTATGAGTCCTGGCCAGTCTGTAGTTCTTTTTACAGTATTGTTGCATTGTGATTACCCCCACCCATTAACAGCAGTTTGTGGAGTACTGTCTATGGGCTGTAATGAGCTCTCGTTTAGTATTCACACAGATATTTATTGAACCATCTACTGTGTACCAGGTGCTAGTCAAGAGGCTGGTGACACAGCCCTGAATAAAACAGACAGAAATACTTGTTCTCTTAGAATTTCCTTTTATTTAAAGGAGGCAGACAATAAACATACTAAGTAGCTATATTGTCTGTTAGAAAATGATACATGAGGGCTGGGGATTTAGCTCAGTGGTTCTGCCGCCTGCCTTGCAAGCGCAAGGTCCCGAGTTCGATCTCTGGTACCAAAAAAAAAAAAAAAGTGATACATGATAAGAACAAAAACAAGTCAGGTAAGGAGAAATATGGTTTGGGGGATAGATTATAGTAATGGAAATCTAACTGAAAATGTGACCTGCAAATAGAGACATAAAGCAAGTTAAGGAATGTTGCTCCCAAAGGGAAGTGCATACTTGGAAGAAGGAACAAGTGCAAATGTCTTCGGGTGAAAAGTTTGTGAAGGGTAGAGAATTTAAGGCCTTACAGGCTATTGTTGTTAAAATATATGTGTGTTAAACTATTTTTTTTTCCTCATTAAGGTTATTGGTACATTCTGTTGTTTTTTGTTTGTTTGTTTTTGTTTCTTGGTACCGGAGATCGAACTCGGGACCTTGCGCTTTCGAGGCAGGCGCCGGAACCACTGAGCTAAATCCCCAGCCCGGTACATTTTAGGTGTAAAATACAGTTACGTACATCACTGGGATCTTGTACCATTACATGAGTATCTTGGTTCTTATTTTTCCCCCTTCCCCTGCCCTCCTTTCACCCCCTCCACCCCTCCCTATTTGCAAAGACTTTGTTTCCATTTTTTTCCTTTTCTCATATTTTTTCTTTTCCCTTCTTTCCTTTCCCTTAACCCTCCCACTTCCCCTGCTCCTTTAGACCTTTACTTCCTATTATAGAATATCAATTATACATTTTTTAAATTACAATATCAAGATCTAGGAGACAATGTGTGTTAAACTATTTAAAAATAATAAAAGATGCAGAATAATTTAAAACCACATCATTGATATTTTGATGAAGATGAAGATGAGGAGGGGTACTGCAGCCTAAGGCTAAAAGAATTTTACTAAAGGGCCGGGGATTTAGCTTAGTGCTTCTGCCACCTGCCTCGAAAGTGCAAGGTCCTGAGTTCGATCCCCGGTACCAAAAAAACAAAGCAAAGAATTTTACTAACTTGCCTAAAAGGCCACACAGCTAGTGAATACATAGAAATCAAACCCTGGTTTGTATTATTTTAAGCAGTGTGCAGAAGAACACTCTGGTAATAGAATCTCAGGAAGCGTCTGGCCTTAGGCCAGCCCATGTTCAGTCTTGATATTGAGTGTGTACTTTCCTGTTTGTGTGCATCTGTTCAGGGTCCTTGTGTCTTTGAGAGACCTCCTTATGATATTTGCATATATAGCTTTCCTCCAGAATTGTGCTGCTGGCAGCAATTAGTTTTTTTAGTCTTAAGTTTCATGGTTCAAACTGTATATTTGATATAGACCTTTATGTAAGTCTTTTCCATCTTAATTTGGAAGCAATGTCAATATTATTCTGGATATGAATTTTTTAGATAGCTGTTTATGGAGGCCTTAAACTATTAGGCATCTTGCATAGTTATATATATATTTTTTGAGACAGGGTCTGGCTATGCAATTCAGACTGGCTTTGAACCCACTACGGAGCCCAGCTGGCCTTGAACTCACAGTGATCCTCCTGCCTCAGCCTTCTGAGTGCTGGGATTACAGGCATGTGGCACCACGCCTAGCTCCCTTTTGTATATACTTTAAATCAGCACTGGAGTTACAGTGCACTTTTAAAGGAAGACATTGACTGATGGAACTCTACAAAAATTTCAGGGAACATTTTCATATCCAATCAAGGGAACAGAAGGAGACTTTTTGTTTTTCGGATTGGCACCCTGTACTTAACCAACCTTGAATTTGGCTAGGACATCTGGGTTAATATCCTGGCCCTGGCACCAAGTACCAAGGAATCTTGGCCAGAACTAGTCAAGAGCTTGTTTTTTTTTAAATCTCCATCTGGCACCTCCAAAAGGACAGATTCCACTAGCAGTAACTCCCTGTGTGGGTCTGTTTTTTCAATTGTCTGTTTATTGTGGTCCAGCAATAAATCTTAAAAAGTATCCTTTGCCTCAGCACCACCAAAAAAAAAAAATTCTTTGTAAGACCTCTGAAAAGAGTAAGTAGTCCTATTACAGAATCCCTGTTGGAAAGCCTATCTGGTATCTCAGCCCTGGGGAAATATATATTCTCATCTGTGGCTTCTCAGAAATCATAGTGAGACTAAGACAGACCTTTTGCTACCCTAATGCTATATATAAGCATAAGTTTATACCTAATTAAGTACAGGTAGCTTGATATTTGTATTCTCTTTTGCTTTCTTGTATCTAAGAATAGCTTAGTTTAGATCCCAGTTTACTTATTTTTATTTTTTTGGTACTGGGGATCGATCTGGGGTCCTTGCGGTTGCACAGCAGGCGGTGAAACCACTGAGCTAAATCCCCAGCCCTAGGGTAGTTTTTTTATAGCCTATGTGAAAGAAAACTATTAGGGGTGGGGATTTAGCTCAGTG